CAGTAAATAAGAAATTCAATTCATTTATTTAAGTGCTTGACAACAGCCAAAAATGCCAGTAACAGCCTAGCACTGAACAACAGTACAGGATGAAATCTAATAAAATAATTACATTCATTTCGATTATAATAAAAGTAAAACATTACAAATACAAAATCAAACAAATGAGACCAAATATATAAATGTACCACATTAATAATAATAATAAACATTAAATTTAATTTAATTCAATTCATTTATTTTAGTGCTTGACAACAGCCAAAAAGGCCAATAACAGCCAAGCACCAACAACAATACAAAAGCAAACAAACAATGAACTGAATATATAAATGTAAATTAATTTATTGCAAATTAATTAAAATTAAATGAGCCAAATATTATGGATAAGTAAAATAATAATTAAAGTAAAATAAGTTCAATTTTGGACAAACAACATACAAAATATAATGTTATACTAAATAAACAATAAAAACAATGATTATTGTTTAAAAAGCTGACTGACATCAGTAAGCAAAACACGATGTTTGTTAAAGATGTCGATGTTCCTACAGACTGCATTGGCAGCAGAAACACATCTGGCAGAGGGACTAGCCTTCAAATTACGTTGTACAGTAAAGGTAGAGTAGTCTCTGATAGACCTAGTGGGTATGTAGAGACCAACTGTATCTAAAACAGATGAGCAACTTATTTTGCCTCAAGTAATAATAATAATATTATGTGGTGAAGAACATAAATAAGCTGCCCTTTACGTAATATTCCGCAACACCATTGTAAACACCGGCATTCTATTTTCCTTATATTAAGGGACCAGCTTCAATCCCAAGTGAACGTTCAAATTATTACCGAAAAGGGTGGGCGTCTTTCGTCATGAATGTATTGCAGAGGTTCAAGATACTATTTCGCCTTTATTAAGGGCGGTCAGGGAAAACCCAAGAAACAAGAGAATCAGGCTTCCTACGGTCAGCAATGTCATCCCACTGGGGTCGTTGTCCCTTTTCCATCTCTTGAAAGATCTGCCCCACATCTTGGTCCTCCAGCTGCTCTTTTCTTAATGTTACTCGGTCCCAACCATCCGCGACTGTAACGGCGACGGCTCGCACCTTTACGCGACCCGCTCGTTGCTCGAACTTCTGGCAGTGGCCACAGTCCTCCGAGCATGGCCTTCTAGAGAGAGCGTCGGCGTTGGTATGCCTCCGTCCTTGTCGATGTTCAGAGGTAAAGTTATATTCTTGTAGTCGCTGGACCCAACGGGCAGTCTGTCCCTCCAGGTTCTTGAAACTGAGCAGCCACGTTAAGGCGGAGTGATCCGTACGCAGGTGGAACTCTTGCCCATACAGGTACTTGTGGAAATGTTCCAAGGTTTTTACCACAGCCAGCAGCTCCCTCCGGGTGACACAGTAATTCCTCTCGGGGCGGGATAGGGTCTTGCTATAGTAGCCTATTACTCGCTCCTGGCCATCTTGTACCTGGGATAACACGCCTCCGATCCCAACACTGCCTGCGTCGGTGTCTACCAGAAACTTCTCGCCAGGTCGTGGATATCCTAAAATGGGCGATGCACACAGCGACTCTTTTAAGGACTCGAATGCGACGTTCGCCTCCGGGGACCAGTGGAACGTTCTTTTCTCCTCGGTGAGTTGAGTCAGTGGCTTGGCGATGTCAGCAAACCCGGCAATGAATCTCCGATAGTAGGTGCATAGGCCGATGAA